GGTGGTGCAGGCAGCCGGGCCGGTGAGCGGACGGCAGCTCCGCCCCGGGCTGTCGATACAGCCCGACGATTGGGCAGTAATGCGGCTTTGGGTGGCAATCGTCATAAATAGTTCATTGCTAAATCGGCGATCTCGCCATCTACGTCGTCATTCTTAGCATCGACTTTTTCGGGCGCGTTTGTTGCGCATTCCTTACAAACAAAAAATATTGTAACTCAATGCCCACCGAAAGTGCAGGTATCAAACCATCAATGGTCAGACCCGACACCGTTGAACCCGGTGCTGAGCCGCCACGTCCCCTCCCCGTTGGACAGCCGGCGGCGGCTGGCGCACGTGACCTGCCGGCGACCTTGTGCGATGGCCCGGCGCGGCTCCGGTTACGGGCGCCGGTCGGGTGTCGGCGGGCCACTGCCGACCGGCGCCGGCTCTCCCCGCCGGCCGACTCACCGGCATTGACGTAGGACCCGGTACAGGGAGCCGTGAATGCAGCGTCAGCAGTGCACAGCTCAGGGCAGCGGGTTGGGGTACACTCAGCCCCAGACGCCGCAGACAGAGATAGGCAGTTCCGCGGAGGGCCGAGGGCGATAAGTGTTTCACGAACGCCGGGTCAGCCATTCCCGGAGGGACATGTGAGCCTCCCCGTGATGTCGACAATGGGCATTGTAAGGCATTCATGGGACGCCAGGGCCAAGGGCGCGATCGATGTTCGGTGAGTGGGACCATTGCAGGAATTGTGCCCGAGAAAGTAAGGAACAGACACGCCTTGACCGAAGCGTTCGTTAGCTCGGCCAGTGTCAGTGGATAGCATGGGCTGCGTGTGGAGAAGCCGGCATGCAGTGAGCACAGCGGGTGCAGACGCAGCCGCTGCCTGGCCTGAGTTAGAGCACAGTGGCACCGGTAATCATGCGGCGTGCCTGGAATACATTTCACTTTTTATCCCAAGCCGCAGCTGGCTGCCGCGAAGGAGCAAACGTCCGAGCTTTTACCGAGCTCACTTTCCGCTGCTGGCGGCGGCTGGCGCACTGCGCCGCCGTGCCCAGCAGCTATGCGGGTTGCCTACCGGTCAGGGGATTCAGCGCCGGCTATAAACGCGAGCGATGCGGCGACGGCGGCCAGCTCCAGCCAGAGCCGCCCGTAAAGCTGCGTCCGGGGCGTGCGGTCGGCGGGGCTCGCAGTTACATAGTCTGTGTTGACCTTTTAAGCAGGTCTTTAAGAAGGCACCTCCGAGATTTCGTAATTCGTGCAGAACTGACTGTAGGTATCTTTAGAAATCTTTACAAACCTATTTTGAAACCTATCTTTAGAAAAATGTGCCAAAATTGTAGTTTGCAGCAAAAATAAATAAGTGCCTACGCCCTCCACATACGAGTATTTGTAATTTGTTATGCATTTTGTTGCATCTCTGGACGCTTTTATGACGCATCATTTTAAATTCATTTGTGAGAATAGGTATAGCTGTTGTCGTATTCCGAATCTGCTGGATTAGTGTGTCGGCGACTGGCGAGCGCTGCACTGTCCTCTGGGTTGACGGCCGGGGTTCGAACGCGATTGCCTATGTCCGGAGTGAAGCGCCCACTGCCGCCCGGATACTGAGACACGGGCCGTGTCATCGTGCTCACAGTTCACTCACCGAGGACGCGGCGGCACGGGCCGTGCGACCCGTGCAGACGGCCGGCCGCCGGGGGATACCGTTCGAGGAGGCCCACTGAACGGCGGAGTGACTCATGAGGCGCCCAGTCACGGGGCTGACTGACTGATAAGCGGGCGACAGCGTGGAACCGTCCAGACGGCCAGCCTCTGTGCCCCGGCCCAGCGAGACGATACATGACGTGTGTGGTCAGCCGGTCTGCATGTGACCGCATTCTCGGTGTATGTACCTACAAGTTACAGTGTATGTACGAGAAGATTGCGCTTAATCGGACATACCTACAAGCAAACTACAAGTTGCCGATAGTCGTGCTCTGCCTACTGACGCGAACCAATTTAAAACATGATTAACATTAGCATAACATAAGTACAACATTAGCTGTAACTTGGATAAGCATAGCGCGTTCAAAGCCAAGGGTTCAGTAGGTAATCAAATGTTTGTCACATTTTTTTTTCAAATTCCGTTCGCCCTCATATTTAAAAGTTCCGCATTTTTTGTATTTGTGAATACTTATTCTGGCTCGACCTTCAATGCATAGGTACACAATATAATACGCATTACGCGCATAAAAACAAAACGTAACATTGGTTACTTCAGATCGCAGGCGTCCGTATTAAACGGCATCGATGGCACTATCTGCACCAGTCCCGTGTCCGGAACCCGAGCACCCGCCGTGACCTCCCCGAGGACCGCGTCAGAAGACGGGACCGGACCCGGAAGGCGAGTCTGGCCCTGACCGCGCTGTGACAAAAGGGACGCGGCGACGTCGCGTCAGCCGCGCAGCAAGCGGACAGAGGGGCAGCGGGCCCTGCCGACTCGGTTCGGGGGGCATGCTGAACACACACACCAATACTGACAGGTCTCGTGCAGCTATTCATATCCTCTGATGGACAGAGGCGGCGCATCCCTAGACGGCCACAGAACGATAACTATAAATGGAGCCGGAGGAGATTGTGAGAAAAGACATGGGAATTGTAAGGAAGGGAGGAAGGAAGCATCAATGGCTAAGGCAGGGTAAGAAAAGAAGGGATTGCTGTAACAAGTATGTAAAGAAGAGACGGCCAAGGACGAGAACGGAGCTGCGAAAAGACGGTCGGAAAAGAAGGAACCTGTAGGATCGAAAACCGACCACGGGAGGGGGCATGTGAGGGGAATATATTAGGTACAGGGCGAGTGGGACTGCCGAGGGGAGGGCTGTGTAGTGTTGCAAGGAGGCGTGGGCTGGGACGGCGGCGGCGGCGGTGGCGGCTGTTGGCACCACGGCCGAGAGAGGGAGGATCTGGCAAGGCCGACCTTGGCGCGAGATGCTCGCCGCCGGCGACAAAAACGCCCGCCGCAGACCTGACAGCATGCAGAACGCCCTCGCATTGCAGCCAGCGGCGGACAGATGGGACTGACTGACGGATGAGCACATACAGGGCCGATTGGGCTCCCAGCCGACACCGAGGGCGAGACCGCCGCTGCAGCGCTGACCAAGAGGCGGGCGAGGTCCGTAGCAGCAGGAGTGAAACAGACACTGCGGCGCTGACCAGCGAGCCGAGATCCTGGAGAGCCGTACCATCAACGTCCCAAGCATCCAACAATGAGCATTCGATATCTCTTTACTTACCTAGGAGTCAATCTCAGTTCGAAACACAGATAGCTGGTTAAAGGCTTTTCCCCGGAGAGTTGATGTCTCCAGTTATGTCTACGAGACTTCGAAACCCCCTATAAATAGACACTGTCCGAGCAGATTCCATTCCGGCTGTGCAAGGCTCTTACACCTGTCGGTGGTCCGTTTTTTACCGGGCGCGTTTTGACGCTTTCTTTCGGCGGCGCTCGCGGAAGCGGGTCGCGCGCGCGCGGCGCTGCCGTAAAAAGCGGCTCAGCGCGGCGCCGCGCCGGCTCCATTCATCGAGCCGAGCGGCGTTTTTGCCTCCTGTGCGCAGTGAGTGAGTACCGGCGCAGTGCGTTGCCGACCCGCTCCCGCCAGAGAGTGAGAGTGCCTCCGGCCAGAAAAACGCTACCTTGGGCGGCGCGTGGTCACAGCCAAGTGCCGGCGGCACCGCACACCCGGGTAGGGTCGGGGCCGGTCACAAGTCGGCCGCTCGCGCTGGGCCAGCCGGCTGGGCCGATAGCGGAGCCAGCGACAACCGCGCTAGATCGCAGCGGACAAGGTGCAGGTCAACTGTCAAGTCAGCCATGGTACGCACAGCCAGGTCGGGTTGGATGAGCGCCAGAGATCTGGATTCAGGTCATCAAGTCAGGTCAGAGAAACTTCCAGAGGAGCGACGGAGGGAGAGAGGAGACGCTTCGAGGAGACCCGAATGGGGTGAAGAGACGCTTTGAGTACGATTAAATTTATCTTGGCTCTGAGGAGCCCAAGAGAGAAGAGACGTTCAGACGAAGAGTGAGGGGAACTGAACACTGATAGAGATTTGGAAGGAGTGGATAGACGTTCAGAGTAGTCCAGGACGCAGTGGAGACTGGAGACGGAGAGATGACTTCAGGGGACCCCAGACGGAGCGGAGAAACGGAGAGATGTTCAGAGGAGTCCAGGATGGAATGGAACGATTCCAGACGGAGAAGAGAGCCTGCCGTTCGTAGCAGTCGCTGCGCCACCCGATCACAGCCCGCCGACGCCGGCCGCTCCTGTGAAAGCGGCGCGGCTACCGCGGCTGGCCGCTATCACCGTCTGCACTGGTTGGTCGAAGAGCGACCACGGACACTGCAGAGCCACTGCTCCGACCTGAGACGGCGGCATGCGTCTGTCCATCACAGCAGAAGAGTCTGCACGCGTCCGTTTATCGAGGTCCCTCGGCCGCAAAACCAGTCGGGCGCACGCTCACCGAGAGTTGAGATATACCGCCAGTACGAGACTGCCTTGTACTGACCCGTACTGAGACCAGTGCACTAGACAACATGTGAATTACCATTAGGTATACAATAAACAGGTGCAGTTGTTTATCTCAACTCAACCCGGCTGCTTCACGAACTTTACCTATTTGCATGTTGATCGATGCAAACAATACCAAGATGCTTGTGTTGCCCGGTAGGCATAATTATAAGTTCTGGAAATAAATGTACACGAAGCCATACGCTCACCGGAGAAAATCCCAGTTCAACGCTGATCGAAAAGGCACCATTCCAGACGGTGCAGTGGTGCACGCAGCGACACGAAACATTCAACAGCTTTCCAATAAAAAAGTTTAGCCCTGTGGTTCAAGCATGAATAACCGCGACTTCGTGACCAGGAAATACACAGTCATATTTCACGGTTTACGGAGTCTCACACAAACGGTTCTCATGCATTCACACCCTGGACCATCAGTATGCTGTGCTGAGGCCCGCGGTCCCGGTCCCCTGGACCCACCTTCCATCCTGCCGAACTGGTGCTGTCGCCCTTATCCTTGAACCAGGGGATGTTGGCCACCATCCACTCGTAGACCTGGGCCAGCGTGAGGCGGCGCTCCGGCGTACTGAGGATCGCCTGCGTGATCAGGTCGGCGTAGCTGTGCGGCCCCCAGGCGTTCCGGCGGCTGGAGCCGCGCGCCTTGCCGCCGGCCGCCGCCGCTGCCGGCTGCTGCTGTTGTTGCTCGGAGGTGGGCGGCGGCGCCGGCTGCTCCGGACAGCTCTGCGCCCCGTAGCCGGGGCTGAAGCCGGCCGCCGCGCCGTCCCAGAACTGCTCCGGCTCGCCCGCCGTGTCCGTCATCTCCCGGCTGCGTGCCGCTCTCTCCCTCTGCACCGGCCGAGGGTCCCACACGCGCCGCGCGGCCGGCCGGCCACCACTGACGGCCCTGCGTGCCGCCGCCGCCACCCGTCCCACACCGATACCGGCGGCCGGGCTGGCGCTCACACAACCCTTCCCGGCCCGCCTGGTGGCCGCACGGCCCACTGCGACTTCCCCGAGCGGCGTCAGATGGCGCGGCGCCGACCGGCACTGGGCTCCGAGTGAGGCCCGGCACTACACCCCAACACTGTGGGCATGGGTGGCTGCCGAGAACCGAACTCAGACATTGTGTCAGACGGGCTCAGCCCCGGCGACTCACTAGGGTGCCTGCCCAGACCAATGTCTCCCCCTAATTCCTATCATCCTTCCGGCTCTGCAATGGTCTTATCGACCGAAAGGGCCTAACCCAAAAAAAAGACATTGTGTGAGACGCAATCACGAACGGGATGTCAGCTTAACCCGCGAGTGACAAATGCTATCTGATATGAGCGGCTGGCCAATCAAAGGCTAGCGGAGCAGCGCATCGAATCGAGATCCCTAACATCGGTGAACTTTATATTATTGCCAAACACGGTAAGATCACTTCCCAGGCATCTCAACTGACGTTGCAACAATTTCTATTAGCGTCAGAAAAACTGACGATTTAAGCGCCAGACAGCCCAGGGAGACCATGATAATGTGAGTTTCCAGAACACCAGTCTTCTGCACTCATACTCGAACACCACCAACCGCTGGCGACATTTCCGAGAGGCAGCAAGGTTACCACTGAGTCGCACTGGTGACAATGTTCCAAGAGCGCGAGATAAATGCCAAGCTGCAACACCGTACCATTTTGCAGACCGATTAGCCATACAACTATAGGCTACCACGGCTACAGAGCTTTGAATACAATACAGGATGCTGTAGACACGGTGGGCGGATTTAACCGAAACAAGTATGCACAGAAAAGTTACGCAGAATTGAAACGATATACCCGCGGAGCCATTTTACGCCGTCCACCAGAATGAACTCACGTAGCCTTACAGGCGCTGAATGTTACTGATGCGAGAACATAAAACAAATATAGCTTAAACATCTGGCGAACAGATGGATTAAACGTTTATTGAGGCACAAAGAAAAGTCTTACAATCGTGCAAATATCTCCATAAATTATTAACAAAATCGACGTTGTGTTATCAGACCGTGGAGCGGCGCTGCCGGCGGTCGGACCGTGTCCGGCCGCTGGTCCGGCGCCGGCGCGCCGCTCGGCTCCGGGGGTAAAACGTCGGCAGGGTGGCGTCGGTCGCGGCAGCCCCCGGCTGTGCCGCGCAGGTCCGTCCGTCCGTCCGTCACTGTGTCAACTCGGCCCGTCGGCGGGCCCCTCTCACCCGCGCACACTCACCACCGCACTCCCCGCTCACACTCTCTCACCCAGAGACCGCCGGCCCGCGCGCAGCAGACACACGTATAAAACAGGCCCGGCGCGTCACGGCCGGCCGTATTCCACTCAGTCCCACAGACGCACACTGCACACAAACACAGGGGGAGAGACGACAGGCGGGCCCGTCCCGCCTGCCAGTACCCGCGTTCGTCCGCATCACACTCGCCCGGTCCGCGCAGGCGCTCACTCAGACACTCCCACTCAGGCGCTCACTCAGACACTCCCACTCAGCCACTCACTCCCAAGCACCACTCGGACGTCAGGCACGCGCTGCTCTCAGTGTATCACAGTCAGTTTGCGTGTGGCGCGTGGCGCCACGGTCGGTCGGTCGGGGGCGGCCACCGGCTGACTAGAGGACGCACGCGGGGCGCCGCTAGAACTGGATGTTGGTGGGCGCGTCGCTAGGCGCCGAGAACTCGTACTCGCCGTGGGAGTCGGCCGGCGCCACCTGGGCCACCTCCTCCTCGCTGCCAAAGTACGTCTCGATAATGTCGAACGCCTTCTGGTAGATCTCCTGGTTCTTGTTCGACTGCAGGAATTCAATCTTGTCCAAACCTGCGAGAGGGTGGATTAGCGGAATAGAATTTGAGCGCAAAACAGCGGATAATAGTACAAGTCAATGATACCAGAGACCATCGTCAACCATTGTCAACCCTTCACCACCGAATCACCACCAGAGGAGGGAATAGTCTAACCAAATATGAATAGTGGATACGCACCAAATCTCCACATAACCATACGTATGCACTCCAAGCTCATTTCGATCAGTCAAAAATCGGATCCAGCATACCCCACTTCCCTTCAAAAAAAAAAAAAAAAAAAAAAACAGAGTGTCCCTTGCAGCGCCTGCACGCAATGCGACATTCGGATCATGACCGGGCATACGTATCCGTCCCGCGGCGGTAACTCACCGTAGCACTCCTCGATCATGACGGCGTACGGGTTCTGTCCCGACTGTTTGGCCTCGGCCTCCCCCAGTTTGAGGATGTTGACCAGGCCGTTGAGCGCCACCTGGATGATCTTGGGGTCCATCACGGTGAGCAGCTCGCACAGCGGCGGGATGCAGTTCTGAGGACAGAGGGGTACGGCGGTCAGCTGGGCACATCGACGGGCTCCAGAGGCCAACCAGGGATCGCTCAGTTTAAGGAAACGAGAGCAATGAGATGAAATTCAATGAGATACGGGCTCGTGGTCAGGATTAACGTGGTACCCCCACTGGACTGATTATAGAGTCAAAAGTTTGGTAAACTGAGTCGAGTCCACCCAAAGACCTGAATAGACAAACGTGGATGAACTGACGATGGGACTGGGGTTTCGCGAACATTTTGCATTTGCAGACGGATCTCGAGCAATCTACGAGCTTAAAACAGTGCATAACGGCTATCGTTGCATAAGGAAATATCCACAATACCCGCCATCCCCCCCCGCGTAATGGCGCCCTGCCGACGGTCGGTCGGCGCACTCACCTGCTGCACCAGGTACTTGATCTGGTCGGCCGTGCCGCCGGTGGTGGCGTTAGTGATGGCCCAGGCGGCCTCCTTGCGCGTGCGGAAGTCGGCCCTCCACAGAATCTCGATCAGCACCGGGAAGATGTTGGCGTCAATCACCTCCTGCGGTGCGGACAGGACGGTTAGTCACAGCGAGGGTAACGCGGGGTCGGTGATATCAGTCGGGGAAGGCACAGACAGAACGGGATGCCCGGTGTCCCCTACGGCGGGGACAGAATGGACAGTCACAGCGAGGGTAACGCGGGGGTATCAGTCGGAGGCGGTACAGACAGAAAGGGATACCCGTTGTTAGAAACGAGCTGCGAATGAACGCATGGCAACGCGTGTGTGCTGACAACAGTCTGGCATTACAAGAAGCATTAGCAAATGAAGACGTTTACCAGGCTGGTTGACCTACCTAAAAAAAAAAACATTCACACAGTTTATCAACACCCACTTCAAGTTGACCACTTGAAAGGAAAAAAGAATTATCGCACGGATACACAAAACATAACAAAGCTATCGTGCTACGATGTCATTGCTACGTTCACAATATTCAAGTGGTCTCGGTATAAGTAGCTGCGTTGGGAAGCGCCCGTCACCAGCCGGGAAGGCGGCGGCGTTACGGACCTGGATCTGCGCCTTGTTGCCGGCCGTGATGTTGCTGATGGTCCAGCAGGCCTCCTTGCGGATGTTCTCCTTGGACGAGCTGAGCAGGAAGAGCAGGCACGGCAGCGCCTGGCAGTTGAGGATCACCTGAGTCTGCATGTCGTCTCCGGTGACGATGTTGCCGACGGCCCGCAGCGCTGCGCTCACCACCGACTGCTCGCTGTTACTGCTCAGAGAGGGGCGAAGGGTGGAGAGTGGGGGGTCAGTACAGCCATATACAGTGATACACCACCTCGTCGTTACTGCTCAGAGAGGGGCGAGAGTAGCGGAGGTCAGTACATACTACACAGTACACAAACACCACCGACTGCTCGCTGTTACTGCTCACCGGAGGGGAGGGTAGCGGGGATCAGTATCAACGCAGCACGCATCGTTCATAACTGAGAGGGAAGTGGAAACCAGTACAAAAACACAATTAAATCATATTACTGAATATAGGGAGGCAGTGCAATATCGAACCGTGCAATATACTGCTCTAGACGTTCACTAAACCCTCTCCCCCTTTCCTCCTATGGGATTCTCACCGCTACCCCCCCCCCCCCACCCACCCCCCGAACGGCGGCGCGGATAGTCTCTCACATGAGCAGCTCGATGAGGCGGCGGCAGACGCCGGCGTTGATGACCGCCTGGATCTTGTTGTTGGGCCCGTCGGAGAGGTAGCCCAGCGCCCAGCACGTGTCAGCCAGCACCTCGCAGTCGGCGTCAAACAGCAGGCGCGCCAGCACCGGCAGGCACGGCGACACCTTGTCAAAGTCGGCCGGCGGGTTCTTGCCGCGGCACAGGTTGCTCAGCGCCCAGACGGCGTTCCTCTTCAGCGTCAGACGCTGGGAGTCGTTGGCCAGGATTCTGACGAAGTGAGACACAATCCAACGGTCAGCATACGGTTGGGGGCGGTGGGGGCTGACAATGAAACAAGCTGCTCAGCTGATAGCCCTACAGAGGTATGACTTAGTGCCTCCTTAGAATTGCAGTTTAATCAAAGATACCAGACAGACTTGAAAAAAAGGACAAGCTATCACAAAACCTGTGGAAGGATACCGACTAACCTATCTCCTCATACAAACCGATGCAAATAAACAGTCCCCGCAACAATAATGCCCGAAAGTGCAGTTAAAAAAGATAAGAAAACGTGAGAAGCAGCTGCAAGTTTCGCCGCTTACAAGCGCTACTCAACGACAGAATCACTCACTGTAGCAGCGGCATCAGCATCTTCTGCTCGAGCACATAGTCGCGGCACTCGGGCGAGTCTCCGGCCACGTTACCCAGCGCCCAGACGGACTGTTCGCGCACGTCCTCGTGCGGCGACTGCAGCAGACCGATGAGGATCGGCACGGCGCCCGCCTCGACCACGCGCCGCGTCTGAGCCGACGAGCCGGACGCGATGTTGGTCAGCGCCCAGGCCGCCTCGAACTGAGGGCAGGCAGAGGGGGGGGGGGGATCAGCGATCACACAGTGGAATCGGTGGTCACCGCACAGACGGTTACTACGGACGGCATGAACTTCATTGATAGGCGGATATATGTCTAAAAACTTAGGCAATTTTGTGTGCTTACTTCTCCAGTGTACGCTCGATTTTAGAATATGGCAGTGTGATATGGGCGGGTGCGGCTGACACCCACACAGTGCGGGTCGACCGAGTGCAACACAAATTTCTAATATGGCTTTTATCAAACACGCACTCCGGACATTCCATTTCTCTGGATTACAGTGCTTTACTAAATCACTTCCGGATACAGTCATTGGCTTCACGTCGAATTCAGCATGATCTGATTTTCATCAGAAACGTGTTTCATGGGAGACACGACTGTTGCCACATATTAAACAGCTTTGCACTGCACATACCCACTCGGTCGACCCGCACACAGAAACTGTTTTATGAGCCCCGTGCACGCGTCAACACCGTGAAGCTTTATTCAACAGGTGGTTTATTCAACAGGGTACCATGTCTAGTCAATTCGTTTTTATGCAGTGTTCCAGGGGCAGATTTTTTTACCGATGCCACTGGGACTTTTAAATCCCATGTTTTGAAGTATATATCATCTTTTTAAAGTCATAGAGCCTTTTTACAAGCTCGTTTTTTTAGATTCATCTTAACTCACATATTTTTTGTGCATTATATTTTTAGCTATATTTATCATAATATTTGCCTACTGTTTACTCTGCATTGTTTGCCCGTATGTCATTGTTTATCATGTATAGTGTTAGTTTGACTTCGCCTGTCAGTGGGGGTCCGCCCTGTTGGTGATCACTTGAATAAATAAATAAATAAAATAAATAAATGCAAGCGGTCGACATAAGCATCATACTACTCCATGACGTGGTTACATTTACATCGCGCTGATTTAGAAGCTAAAGACAAACTCACGCAAACCATAAAGTAGGAATTTTACCACAAGTAATGTAATTGAATACAGCAGCTGAATGATTGCTGGAAGAGCAAAGAGCAGTGATATCTAGTCGGACACAGGGGAAAGTAGAGCCTCCAGGCACTCCTCGCCGTCGCCTCTCACCTGGAGCCGCTTGTCGTCCACCTTGAGGAACTCGACGAAGCGCGGCACGATGCCGGCACGGATCACCTCGTCGATAGGCGGGTTCGGCTCGCGGCTCAGCAGCTTGCGGAACTTGTGCGTGGCCTCCGTCTGCTGGTCGAGGTCGCTGCTGTACAGCGCGTCTACTATCTCCTTGGTGATGGTCGGCTGTGGCACCTCCTGACGGGTAGACAGAAAACACAGTCACACAGAAGGGCGGCAGGCGAGAGGGCATTATCTTTCTCCGTGAACAGATTCATGCATCACAAATACATCTTTAGAAAGAGGGCAGCATGGAAAACAAACAATAAATGTTGACAGCTTTCAAACAACTGTCTTGCACTTTTCCATAATTCAAAATCAGTGAGTTTTTGGGACGGACCGTTCCGGTGGAGGAGACCTCGTCGTCCTGCAGCTCCGGCAGTGTCACGTTTCGGCGCTTGTTGAGCTGCTGCTCACGCTTCTGCTTCCTCAGCTGGATGCCCTCCTCCTCGCGGCGGCGGCGCATCTCGGCCGAGTCCAGGCCCGTGTTCTTGTAGCGGTGCTGGTGCGACATGGTGGCCCACGCCTGAACAGACAACACAATGTGCATGTGTAAAAATAATGCACATGTAAGACGGTACCCCTAACGACAGCAACAACAGTGACAGAGGTAGCAGCAAATGGTTCATGTCATCCTCCTCTCAATCATGAATGTCGTCGTCTGCAGCCTGCACTATACTCCTAAATGATGCCTAATTTTAAGAATGATGGCACCAGTAAACTGAGGGTCAGGAGTTTGTGAAATTCCTTCTTTATCTACATTTCAACTTCCACTGCAAATAAGATAAGATAGTGTGTCATCACTCATCAGTCCTGTGTTTATGGTACAGGCACCAATAACACATTGCAATTTGACAGCATGCATGTGCAAGCATTCTCACTAAATTTGGATACATTAAATACTGCCAGATTGGTCAGGAACTTCAGGGACAGTTAAGTGGATGTGAATAGAGAGAAGGAAAGATGGTACCCATAAAGACACAATTTGCAGTGTGGACATACCATTACCATGAATAATGAATTTTCTGTCAAATGTGTCAATACCTATTCATTTTCTGGCACATTAGATTTAGTCAGTGTGATTTGAAGGTATAACATCTGAATTATAAACAGACAATAATTTTCATATAACACACTAAATATATTTGGATAGATATCCTTATGGCTTATTTCATAATGTGGAGAGAGAGAGGTCACAAAACTAATTTAACAACCAATTGAATGTTATCAGGACTTAAAGGCAAACATAATTCAAATCTTGTCATGTAATTTTTTTTTCATACACATGTTCACATATGAATTCTAGACAAACTTACCATTGCAAGATACTAGATTATGAAAAGCCAATTTTAGGTTTCAGTTTAGGTTTTAAGATGTGAGCTAGGATTAGACATTGCCTATTTGGTGCTCACTTCAAAGCATAGGTACTGGATTTAAATCACATTGAGGATGGATGGTTTGAGGATGGTACTAACAGATACATCACCAAAATTACTCTATGCCTGAGTTGCCCAATAATTTTATCTGCACTGCAGTCATGTAAAAAGTGAACACTAATGTCAAAAAGTACTAGCAAACCTTACCAATATTATATATTTATACATAAACATTCTTTTATGACATTGCTGCTGAAACCTTACGGCAACTTTTATGCCTTAAATAGATAAGATAAAATATCCAGCTGACAATTCTTTCTGGTGGAAAACTGGCTTTAAGTCAATGTCCTGCATGTTCAACTCATAACCTAACCACCTCCTTTGAATCCTTGTTATTGCCTGAAGTCTGCTTAGTAGGTAGCGCATGGCGCATAGTATACCAATCCAGACAACAGCCAAGGACGCACTTGAAGATCAAAACCATACGCAAATGCACTTGAACCCTACAGCTATGTTCCCAAATCCACCAAGAAATCCACCACACAGTTCATGTGTCTACCAATAAAATGTCCAGTATTAGGCACCATTCATGATATAGCTCCGTAAAATCCAGTATCGGTATGCATGCATGCAGGCATCAAATGTAATTTCTTCTGAAATCCAAAGCATATGTTTTGAAGCTCAAAAGTCTTGTAATATCTCCACCTTAGTGATTTTAATGGGCAACAAAACCCAGATAGCACAGTCATCTGATTTTTTAGAAACTTTAATTATATTTGGGCTCATTCACATTTAATTATCGATGATAAACCAAATGTTTAACGACGAACATGGCGCGCGGGCCGATGGCTATGAACGCGGAAAATCAATAAATTAAAAGCTGCACTCACCAATAACGATGCTGGAAGCAATCAAATTGAGGAGAAGATTATCAATATTACGAAAAATACTAATAACACTCAGCAAACTTTCCAGAGGTTCCACTGCAATGTGCTTGCAGCGTGCGCCACTTTCGCCCCAACCTGCCTGGGAAAATGTGGAAGGAAAGTGAGGGAGGGGCGGGAGGGGAGGAGAGGGGAAGAGAATGTTCGACACCGTTCGAGGATATAGTGCTTCGGATAATTGATTTTAATGCTAAAGTTTGTTTCAAAATCAATGAATGTTCAGAAAAAATGGTTATCAAAGTAAGTGGATGCGCTGGGGCGGCGCAGCACCTCATAGAATGATCAGTGACGTCATATTGGCCACCCTGCAGGGCTTATTAGGCGGTGACGGGCGGCCAGTAGCCCCTCGAGCCCTCCCCTACAGCTCCAGAGTGCTCCATGTTTATTCACCATCGCCCCATGGCCCTAAACCGGGTGAGTGACCATAGGCTAACCATCCGCTGTACTGGAAAAGGCAAACAGATTGCAAAACTAGAACGGATGCTATGGAAAAAGTGACGAGTTACTAAACGCGCTTCCAGATTTTAACCGGACACCAAGCCAACTGGATGAATGAGCGTCCTCTGAAAGGTCATCACCAAACAACAAATGCACTGTATTCATTGTTGATGACGGACGTTTGGTCACAATCACAACCCTCCTCCGTTATCATACGATGTTACGGCATCACATTCCGAAAGGTCAGATCACCTCATCTTCAGTACCAGTACCCACGGCAAATTAATCTTTGGGAAGCATGCGTTACAAGACCGTGACACCGGCGATAGAAGTTACTCAAGGAGGCCCTAAGCGGTAGTTCGCGCGGTGTGGTCCGTTTCTGTCTCATAATCACTCCGGTGAAGTCAGCGATTCGTCAGATCAGACGACACTGTCCGTTAGAGTCGACCGATACCTGGAATCGCGCAATGATTCCAAGCCTGAGGATGGTTAGAGCATCACATTTCCAGCGGTGTTAATGCCCGCTGTTGTAACTTAACCACAACTGACCGTATAATGGAAGCAAAAAGGCATGGTCACGTCACAACTACACGCCGAACAATCTACGTAATAATTACACGCACACACACAAACGTGTCACCTACCTGCTATACCGCGGAAAAATTATAAGCCTACACTCTACCGTAACTTGTCACGAACACGGCGCCAATGCGTTCCACTCGTTATCTACTTCACTATGACTGCTCTCCGTTGGTCCCCATTCCCCTCCCGGCCCGCAGATCCTGGGCGGGCTGTCCTCTGTCGTTCAGCCCCACTAGGACCGGTCCGCGCGCGCCGGCCGACTGAACTGTACCCGGCCCTTGACGGGACTGTCGGGCGTGCGCAGACTCGACTTGCTGGGACTGCGCTCCAGCTGTCGGACGGCCTGGCGCAGCCGGGCGGCCATCTGGTCGGCGGGCAGCGGCGAGAGACGCTCGCCGGCCGGCGAGTCGAGCAGCGAGCCGAACATGGTGGTGTCGGGGGTGCGCGCCGCGCGCGACGCGCCGCCGTCGCTGGCGCCGCTCAGCACCGTGCTGGCCGAGTCGTCGGCGGCGTCCAGGTGGCGGAGCACGGCGCCGGCGGCGGCCGCCAGCTCCGAGCGGCCCTGGCGCAGCCCGGCGTCGGCCGAGCGCCGGCCGCCGCCGGCCGACGCACTGCGGGCGGCGGCCAGTGCCGGCGTCAGGCGGCGGCACGAATGCAGCAGCTTCCGGACGGCGTCACACAGCGTGGCCCGGTCCAGCCGGGCGCCTGTGAGAGACAGGGACACGGCGCCGCGGTGATAAAAGGGCGTTATGACGGTAAAAAGGCCATCAGGCATCAAGAGCGTTCATAATTCTACAGTAGGTAAGGTACCGTAGGAATCCATAGGAACATATTATGTATTATGTATGTATAGCAACTTTCCACTTCACAGTGGCTATTTAAAAGTTTCACGTCATGTGTATAAAAAGATGGGACATAAAACGAGATAACGTTAAAGATGACACGAAAACACACGCATATCAGACACACAAACACCCATAACCACCACACACTGGCCAGAGGTCAATCAGCCGACTAGACAAATCCATATCATCGCCTCACATCATCTCCGAGAAAAAAATCTTTCAAACGGCGCTTGAACTGATAGATATGTTGGGCATTACGCAAATCAGGCGGGAGGCGGTTATACAACTCAGCTGCCCTAAAACTGAAACGACGGACTCCGGAATTGCTTACAGCGTGTGAGCGCCTCAGCTGATGAGATTGCCGCGTGTCATAGGCATGTTCAGCAGTAGTCAACATCGCGGCTAAATCACCTGGCTGACCCGTGACCATGATTCTCCTTAGCAGGCAGAGAGTGTGATAGCCGACCAGCTGATCAGCCCTGAGCCACCGAAGGTCCTTTACGACATCTGATACGTGATCGAATGCGGTACTCACGTCATACGGTGTTGTAATAAAGCATACGCCAAACCACTTACCACAAACAGCGTAAACATACTCACACCGATCAAGTTATAAACTTGTCTCACGATAAACACACAGTCCACCGTCCCACTACACCCTATCTTCGCCTACCTCTGTGATGCCGGTCGACGGCGAGCATGATGAGTCTGACGGCAGAGCTGAGCGCCGTCACCCAGCCGCACGCCTGCTGCACGCTGGCCAGTCGGTATTTGAGAGAAGGGTCGGAGTCGCTGCTGCCGGCTGCTGAGTCGCCACTGCCAGACGCCGCCGTCTGACCGCGACACGGAGACGTGTTATGTGAGAGGGACGGGAAGAAGGCGAACAACGGATAGAGGAAGACGCCACAGAGTGCCGTCTAGAGCAGAAAAAAAGTTGATCAACTACAACAGAGTTGAAAAATAACAAAAGGGCCGGGCTCCTTTGAAAGCAAAACATTGCATTACAACAGCCAACAACACTATGATTAACGTAGAGTACCTTATAGAGCGTCACTTACATGGGTGTTCGACTCTAACTTATCAGCGATGAGCATTTAGCAGCGAGCGACAAGTTAAGAACGACGAGCAGTGAGTGTCAGGCGCTCGGAGACGCTAAGATAACCTCCGCTCCGTTCGCAGCTGTACACAACTAACCTGCACGGTCCGCGCCCTCTGCAGCCAGCTCCGCAGGCACGCCACCAGCTCGTGGGCGGCCGAGTACAGGCCGCCGGAGTCGGCAGACTCCGGTGCCACCGAGTCGTCCACCAGACCTGCGTGTGAAAGATGAAAGTAACAGTAAGCTGTAGCTGAGACACGCATGGGTTAGTGATAGATATTTCTTGTAGCATGACCACCTCTGCATACAAACGCCTACCGTTCGATGGTCGTAGGTAAGGCATTGGATTTCAATCGCATAAATGCGCTGAACTTCAAAGTCAAACGGTTATAAGTCATAACCAGGCCAGACGCCAATACATACTCTACTTGAGAGGCGTGGAGAACGATCAGTTGATACCTTCCGTGCCAGTTGGGCTAAAGTAATACGGTAGCCGCGAGTAGTCTGTCGGGTTTCCCACCTGTGATGAGCACCTCGGCGTCCTCACAGCTGCGTATCAGTTGGAGCATGGCGTGGTCGAGCGCCATTACCGCACCGGCTGTCAGTTCCGTCAGGGTGTCGCTGGTTAGACCCTCAGTCTGAGGAACACAACAGAAAGTCAGCTCAGTCGCTGAACAGGCCCTCACTCCTCAATCTGAGGAACGGAGACATGCCGGGGACGGGGAGGTCAGCTCCGCCAGGGTGTCACTGGCCTGATCCTTGGTCTGAGGACATAGCGAAAGGGAGGGGAGGGTCAGAGAGACAGAGCAGGAAGTCTAAAGCCTTCGCGAGGCCAAGTCAGCCAGAACAAACTCTAAATGCTCTGATTACAGCGCTATCCCATTTTCACATTTCGGCGAGAGAGCTCCCGTCATTTCGGGTCCGCTGTGCCCACCATGGCCTCCGGTTCGGTGAGCTCCTCGGCGGCGGTGCCGATCAGTCGGCAGAGTCGGACCGTCAGACGCCGGCAGCCCGACAGGTGCTCCTCGGCCAGGCTGCTCACTCGGCCGCCGATTCCCTGTCGACGGAACGGACAGAGCTCGCTCATAATTACAGACCACAGAACGATACCCTGTCGACGGGGAGACGCAGGCCCACACAACATATCCGAGCTCGCACAGCAGCTGATCCAAGCTCATACAGATCCTATCCCACACAACAGAACCGAGCTGATACAACAAACCCGAGCTCACGCAACGGATCAGGAGCTCACACAACAGACCGAGGTCACACAACAGACCACAGGACGATATCTCGTTAACGAGAAGACACGGGTTCACACAACAGTGCAGACACCACATTCAGGCCGTTGAGCCAGTTAGTCACTCACCAGGAGACCCGAAGCCTGTCTGACCCAGCAGCTGTCCGACACACTGACCTGGTAGATGAAGCCGATGCCGTTCTGCAGCCTGTCCATCACGTCATCCAGCTGGGAGATGGAGGCTTCCACGTCCTCTTCGGAGGAGAGACGGCCGCGCCGCCACACGGCAAACGCCGAGCTCAGCCGGAGCCAGCGCGACAACAGACCCACCAGCGCCTGACATAGACACAGACGGATCAGGTATACATAATACAGACCACAGTCGTATCAGCAGACACCAGAGAGTGACAACAGACCCACCAGCGTCTGACACCAGCAGCCGTCTGACACAAGTTGAGCGGCAACAGACGGCTCAGACATACAATTTGTTTAAAAAATGTTCCGAAGGTAAAAAAAAAGTGAGGCAGATGGTCATGGACCAGGCTTTGCAAAAGCAAATCCAATAAAAATGTTCAAACCGGCAAAAAGGAAAAAAGTCCTCGCAATAATAGATAATAACCCCACCGACCCATTACTCGGCGTCGTTGCCCGTAGAGTATATCGCAGAACCCGACATATTCATCCCTGGACGACTTCCCATTCCGGTCCCACAGCCATCAGCCATCGTCTCACCTCTGTGAAGCTGTCCTGAGCTCGCAGCAGAGCCGATTGACGCCACACGCCCTCCACGGCACTGAGTGCTGTCTGCAGTGCCTGTATACCGAGCAGCACGGGCCGCGCGCCGGCCGACCGCCAGTCAGCGCACTCGTGTACCAGCGGGGAGCAGAACTCGGCCACCGACAGCGCCGCCTCCTCTGTGAGGGCAGACGGAGTTCGGACTCGGGTCACGGTCGGGTCAGACTGTCACAGTCGCCGACACGACCGGCTCGTCACTGCTCATATCACCAACCAAGCTGCCTGTCTCCCACCAGGCCCATAGGTATCAGTCCCTTTCTCTCATTCGACTCTCGTCTCTGTTTCTCACCGGTCCGTCTCCGTTCCTCTCTCTGACTCTCTATCTACGTTCCTCACCTGGCTGTCCGTCGCTGCAGCGTCTGCCCCTGACCGAGGAGCGGCGCCGGCCGCCGCCGGCCGGGTCGTCCGCCAGCCGGCCGCTGCGGCGCAGGTCGTGCTGCTGCCGCCACCCGGAGCGCGAGTCGAGCACCACACTGACGTCGCACAGCGAGGTCGACGACGAGTCGCGCTGCAACGGACGTCAGAACGTCAGGACTGGAGTAAATCAGTCACAGATTCCGTGGAATGTCGATTATCTTTACTCCATCCCTTCAAGTGAGTGCATTCCACAGCTCATTCCATTCCACTCATTCCACTCATTCCATCTCCAGATGCATAAGTATTCTCTTTGTACCTCTGTGTAGCCTTCAGCCCCACCCGGTTCATCTACTACATTTCATTCATGAATGGGCACTGGGCGGTGGACAGGCTCCCTCCTCTTGGTCCGTTTACCGCACCATATCTTACTAACCTCCCCCAGAATTATCGGAGCGAGCCCGGGAACTCACCTCCTCCCAGAGCTGTCTGAGCGAGGCGACCTTGTCCTCTAAGGTCTCCAAACTCCAACTGGTGCACACCCCGTGCTCCCCGTCCGTCACCATGGCAACAGGACGCAGCGTGCCGCAGCTCAGCTCCAGGTCGGAACTCAGCGTCTGAAAGGGAGTACAGAAATTGGCTCAAGTCATGATACAGTACCTATACACAGAATCAAATGATTTATTTAACAGGTTACTTGAAATCGAGTAGGGCCGATGCTTATCAGTCCCTTCGGGCAGAGAATCGGGAAGAGAATCAGAACAAGAATCTTAAGAACAGGCTACAAACTGCCAGCTCACCGGTTCTCCTACCAATTACAGACATTAGTGCGCTGCAGTCACGGACTCACCACTTTTTTGTTGAGCCGGCGGAGCAGCGCGTTGCCCTCGGTGACCAGCTGGGAGAGCCGCGCCGCGTCCGGAGCCGACACGGGAGGGTGAGCGGCAGACGGAGCAGTCCTGCGATCCGACGAGCCGCGGCCCGACGAGTCGCCGAACACACCCTCGATTTGCTGCAGGGCGGCCCACAAGAATTGTCAGACACAACGAGACAGAAGGGGGAGGTGAACCAGACGTAGAGCAAGGGAGATAGAAATACCAAGGACGTCGATTCCCGGATTCCAAAATGCAGAACATGCAACCAAACATTAACGCATTAGCATGGCACCGAACAAACGAAACACGTCCTATGTCACAAACTCAACGCAAAAAGATTCAGTGATGAGGCTGGTCAATGCAAGTAAGAATTCGACAACAACCGACGCAGAGTTGCACTGGTGGGCGGTGGCTGTAATACACGCTACCACTCCACTGCATTACCGACTACAACGTACCTCGAGCAGATCTGAGTGGTAGAGGCTGACGTTGAGAGACGAGGAGTCGGCCGGGCTGTCAGTCGAGCGGGCAGGAGGGCGACGCTCCTGCTCCTTCAGCTGCTCCTAAGAGACACACGGGCAAATATTAGAAGACGGAGCACGGGAACGAGACGGGGCGAGCGGCAACGTTCAAGCCCAGATGGCTGCACACTGATCCGAAGTGGCAAACAGCACGACGTGTGTTCGTGTACGACGTGCGTTCGTCCATCTGTTTGACTGCCTGCGGCACTTGTAAAACGGTTAAAAAACGCTTTTCCTCTTTTCCTTCCATTCAGTAATCCATCCCGTGCGTACCAGCTGTTCCTTGAGTGTGTCGATCTGCTTCTCGAGCTGAATCTGCTGGGCGCGCTTCTCCAGCTCGGCATCGGCCTGCTCCTGCTCCAACTCCTGAAGCAGCTCCTGTTTCACCCGCTGGCGTAGCCGCTCCTGCTCCTGAGCAGCCCTGGAGGCACAGCCGTCACTCGTCAACGCCCAGGGCCAGCACGGGACACGGCAAACACTATCGGCAGTCAGCACACATAGGTAATGCAGGGCCTTTACTTACGAATATAAATTTTGAGCTTCAATGACAGCAATTCGAAGAATTCTAAGAAACGTTTCCTTCTATGAAGGACTATGAAAGACGAAATTAATAGCCGATATTTTACGATTCACAGATGCTCACTTTTCCTCGTTTTTCCTGTCGAGCTCTGCCTTGGCGTCGGCGAAGTCTCGCAGCCCGAGCAGCGGGTGGGCGGGCAGGTGGAGCCGGAGGAACACCTCTCCGGCGAGCACGAGCCGGTCGCCGTGCTGCAGGGCCGTCGGCGCCGTCACCTCTGAGCCGTTCACGGTGCACACACAGCCGGCGCTGGGGTGCAGCGTCACCCGTGTGCCGCTCCGGGTCACAGAGCTGGGGGGCGACAGGTCATACATGTTAACATGGGATCACCCGGGCACTCATCCCGAATTCACATATACAGCCCAATTACAGTATCACAAAGTCCTCGTCGGCTGCCTGGTAACCCGCATATTGTCCACAACTCGACGGCCCACACTCGGTCCGCACCACGTCCAGTGACCAGAATGTCACACTAATCGGCCCGCTCCACCCACCGGTGACCTGTCTCTTCCGTCTGCAGAGGCCACCTCCCAGTCCCGCCCCGTTCCCACCCACCAGTGCAGTTTGTCGATCAGCAGGCCGTGCAGTCGGACTGCGGCCGTCTCCGCGGCGCCCAGCGTGGTGTCCCCCTCGGCCAGTGGGTAGGCCACCGTCTCGGTGAGCGCCGGGTCGGGCAGCAGGTTCACCAGCGACGGCTGCGAGACGTGGCCGACAAACGGCACACCGGCCGACGGACGGGCGGCGGCGACGGGCCGGGCGGCGCCACCGCCCTCCGCCAGACGGCTGAAACGGAACGGACGGGATACAGACCGCTGGACTTGGCTGAAATAAAATGAATAAGTTGGCTAGCAAACCAGCTGCAGCTAGACATTACTGATATGCCGGTCCCGTAGCTCAGTCGGTAGAGCGTTGGTCTCCGCATGGTGAGAGCACGCGTTCCCGGTTATAACAGTCCGGGTTCGAAGCGCGACGGGCGTTTGACGTTTATGAGCCTCCTGACAGGTATGGTTGCGGTTGGTGGCAGGCCGTAGCCAGGCGAATTTAGTAAGGGACCGTCCGTGCGCGGCTATAAGCGCACGTTAAACTTTGGATTCCAAATTCTGCTATAGAACCGGAATTGCGCGATCGGAGGGAAGAGGGCAGGACCAACGCAACAAGCTCCGCTTAGCGGGGGCTCTGTGCTTGTGAATCCTTCATTCAAAAGGTACGGACTAAATTTATTTAAAAATATGACAGTCTAGTAAGTACAAAATGAAATGTTATTAACTTACCTTCTTATTATCATTCATCCAATTTTTTTTTTTTTTTGGGTGACCTCTTCCTACGTAACATCACACACGGCACGCATCCAAAAACTTTCATTCGTTCCCAATCCCTTACTTTTATGTCAATGACCACCCGTCGCCCACCACTTACCGTTTGGCCTCCTCTAGCTCGTTGTGCTGGGTGCGCAGCATCAGCTCCTTCTGCTGCAGCTTCCGCTTGAGCTGGGTGATGGCCAGTCGGTGGCGGATGGCGTTCGGCGAGTCGGTACCGGTGGAGGGCGACTGCTGATCGGCCGGCTCACCGGCGGCCGGAGCCGCAGGCGTCTGCTCCTGACGCAGCCGCTCCAGCTCCGCCCGCAGCTCACTGGGAGGAGACCGACGGGGTAACAGTACGGTACAGTGGCGACACAGAGTAACTGCCACACAGACGACCGACGGCCGCAGCGGATAGTGACGAACCCTGACTAGACCAGATAGTCGAGACACGCTAAAACCGTGACTGGTCCCGTTTGTTTGTCACCCATTTATGCTAATATGAATAAAATATGCCAAAACCAATTTCAAAGAAGTGTAGCAGTATAAACGTATGACACCTCTTTGACAGAATCACGCCTTGCCCGTACACACGCGAACCTACTCGTCATATGTCTCCATCTACGCTCCTTCATCCGTCCCGTGAAGCGCACCCGACTGACCGTATGATCCGCGCGCGCGGGTCCTCGTTGACATGCACGCTGTTGACGATCTGGTTGGTTTTGCAGGCGTAGCGGAGCGTGGAGAGCGTCTCCTCGGCGTGGGACGAGCACGGGCTGATGGTGGCCAGCATAGCGGTCCGCGAGTTACCGCCCAGACTCTCCTGGTGGGGACACGAAACGTCTGGTCAGTAGGGACAAGGGAGAGGGCAGATAGAATACTAGACTAGATACTGGACAGTGAACATGATGATGTTATGGTTCTCAAATAGGCATCGCCGCACACAAGCTATCACATTCAGCCAGTAGTCTCAAAAAGAGTCTGTCGGACGCCGTCATCCGGCGTCATGCGTACCTTGAGCAGCCAGGTGAGCGCCGATTCCCGGTAGGGGATGTGCGCCCTGCCGCCGTCCACCAGAGCCATGATGACCTTGCCCAGCGTCAGCAGTGACTTGTTGATGACCACGCCCTCCTGTCCGATTGCGGGTCACGGGTAAGAGCTTTACTGTCTCGTTTAAACAGCGCACAAGCAACGAGGTAAGATGAGACTTAGTTGGCTCGGCCAGAGACCTCAACAGCAGAGTTTGAGGTGAAGGCTTGGAAGTGGCTGAGAGGAACAACAACGTTCAAAGGCTGCCGCCCACACTGGTCCTGAGCGCCGCTGAGCCATCCGTACTGAACCCGAGCTGACCGTACTGCCTACGAGCCGCCCGTACAGGGTAGCGACTCTATCCCCCCGTACTGACCCTGAGTCGGACGCCGGTGGTGTGCGCCTGCGCCACACGCTCACTGCCGGCCAGATCTACCAGGTTGACCTGGGCCGTCTGCTGGCTCTCCAGCTGTTCGCCGTCCACCGTCTCCGTCTGGGGGAGCGGAGAGACCCGTCAGCAGTAGAGATAGACGGCGATAGGCCTTCACAGCGGGCTGAGACTGTGACGGGGCCGGACGCAGTCAAACACCCGCGCCAGGCGTGCAATATGAGCCATCCGTGAACTTGGCGTGATTTACTATGAAGTATGAACGGTTAAACTCGTGACAAAATATGTAGTATTCATTAGTTATGTGGACAACGCATATTGATCAGAAACTGCAATGTTGATACTGAGCCATTCGCGGTTAGTCGCCCCGTCGCCTGCCCCATACCCGAGTCTGTATGACGGTGAGTGTCAGCAGTCAGTCGCCGCTGCCATACCTGAGTCTGAGTGACGGTGAGTGTCAGCAGTCAGTCGCCCACGCCATACCTGAGTCTGTGTGACGGTGAGTGTGAGCACCGAGTGAGACCGAGAGCTCTTGTTGTTCATGCCCGTGGAGGCGGTGGCTCGCAGCCGGTTCCCCTGGTCCATCAGGCTCTGTCGAAACAGCCACCGACCACAGCGATCAGATCAGACACTAGTTTTAGTACGCGCCAACACGAACACGACGGCAAAGCGACCGGTCAAACTCAGAAAACTGTAACTAATGAGTACAATTTGCAATGATGCTAATGCTTGCGTCATTGGGGCATCTGGAGTGTTTCGTGAACTGGACAGGTGTCCACCTGATCAAGTTCGAAATGATTGAAATGCTAAAAATGGAGGCCAACATCAAGCATAACAGCAGCAGCTACTAAGCACCATCGATGTTACCTTCCCGGTTCCCCGTCCGGCGCTCACCCTCATCAGCGGCCAGCCGTCCACGGCCACGGCTGTCAGGCCGACCACGTGCGGCCCCAGGCTCGGGTGCTCGCGCACGCGCAGGCCGGACCGTTTGTCGTCCGAGGCGGCCAGCAGGTCCCGGATCCGCTCCTGGTAGATTTCGTAGTAGCTGACCTGCACGACGCCGTTGGAAGAGGGGTCAGAGGTTAGTCTCACGCAATGTCTCCATGAACGAAAAGAAAGGCAGTAAAAAAAAAAATGTTGATGTTCATTGCTAGCTAAAGCACATCTCTTTTAATGTTCCCCATATGATTAATACGTCTCAAGCCAGAAATGAAATAAATGAAACGGAAATAAATGAAGCTGGTCCACCAATGCTGACCTGCTGAGCACCTTGGCAGTTTCGGCAGTGCACGTTACCCTCGTACTGACTTGCACTGTGGTCTGGTACTCTGATACTCACCTGCACTGTAGTCTGGTACTCTGATACCTGCACTGTAGTCTGGTACTCTGATACTGACCTGCACTGTAGTCTGGTACTCTGATACTCACCTGCACTGTGGTCTGGTACTCTGATATAACTCACCTGCACTGTAGTCTGGTACTCTGATACTCACCTGCACTGTGGTCTGGTACTCTGATACTCACCTGCACTGTAGTCTGGTACTCTGATACTCACCTGCACTGTGGTCTGGTACTCTGATACTCACCTGCACTGTAGTCTGGTACTCTGATACTCACCTGCACTGTAGTCTGGTACTCTGATACTCACCTGCACTGTAGTCTGGTACTCTGATACTTACCTGCACTGTAGTCTGGTACTCTGATACTCACCTGCGCTGTAGTCTGGTACTCTGATACTCACCTGCACTGTAGTATGGTACTCTGATACTCACCTGCACTGTAGTCTGGTACTCTGATACTCACCTGCACTGTAGTCTGGTACTCTGATACTCACCTGCACTGTAGTCTGGTACTCTGATACTCACCTGCACTGTAGTCTGGTACTCTGATACTCACCTGCACTGTAGTCTGGTACTCTGATACTCACCTGCACTGTAGTCTGGTACTCTGATACTCACCTGCACTGTAGTCTGGTACTCTGATACTCACCTGCACTGTAGTCTGGTACTCTGATACTCACCTGCACTGTAGTCTGGTACTCTGATACTCACCTGCACTGTAGTCTGGTACTCTGATACTCACCTGCACTGTAGTCTGGTACTCTGATACTCACCTGCACTGTAGTCTGGTACTCTGATACTGACCTGCACTGTAGTCTGGTACTCTGATACTGACCTGCACTGTAGTCTGGTACTCTGATACTCACCTGCACTGTAGTCTGGTACTCTGATACTCACCTGCACTGTAGTCTGGTACTCTGATACTCACCTGCACTGTAGTCTGGTACTCTGATACTCACCTGCACTGTAGTCTGGTACTCTGATACTCACCTGCACTGTAGTCTGGTACTCTGCGCTGGCCGTCTGTTTGAACAGGTCCACGCAGAACCGCGGTATGACGCCGGCCAGCTCACAGGGCTCCTCTGTACCGGCGTCCTCGGCGCCAAGCCTGCCCATCATACTGAGAAGTGCACCGACCAAACGGGTCAGCGACTGAAGTACAGCGGTGGAGAGGGTACGGGAAAAGGCAATCAAGACACGCCGTAAAAGTCTAGAATCAAAGCAATACAGCCAGTACAGACAGGTTTCAAACATGCGACTGAAAAGGCATTACCTGTACGTTTTTCCGCTGCCCGTCTGTCCATAAGCCAGCAGACAGACGTTGTAGCCCTCAAAGGCACTCTTCAGTAGCGGCGCGGCGACACTCTCGTACACCTGAAAGCATCGCACATTAATAGCTAATGAAACAAACACCAAGTCACAATAAAAATACAAAAGCAACTCTTCATAATCTAGCAATGAGTGCACACATCGCAAAAGCTTCAGTTTCACAACTTCAAATGATCGAGAGGAGTAGAAGATGCAAGAAAAAAGTTGGAAACACACAGTATCGGTTAGGGGCAGTCGTGAACATGTACACAAACTCGGAGCCGCGGACCGGTACCCACCTGCTTCTGATTGTGGAAGAGCTGGTCCGCCGGGTCGATCGACCAAAACACGTGGTCATAGTAGAACGCCTGTGACGGGTGCAGCTCGGTGTCCAGGAGAACGCAGGAGCCGTCACCGGAGACGATTCTGCAGACGTCCGGGTCTGAGCGCTCCCTGTCACACACAGACATACAAACAGGAGCCGTCACCGGACACCATTCTGCTGACGTCCGGGTCTGAGCGCTCCCTGTCACACACAGACATACAAACAGGAGCCGTGACCAGAGACCATTCTGCTGACGTCCGAGTCTGAGCGTTCCTTGTCGCACACGGATTCCTGGTTTGATAACCACTTTAAAGATGGTGTAACTAAGACATCAGTCTTGGAATAATTTGCTTGAAAATGGTTGCACGATTAATTCAGCAACACGATTAATTATTGGACACACCGCTGGTACCGACGGTACCGCCTGCGCAGCGCGGCCAGCGGCTCACCTGTCGGTCATGGGTCGGACGCGCACGCCAACCTTAACGGTGACGGCCTGGTCGGCCAGCAGACTGGCCAGCGGGTCGCCGGCCGAGCCGCGGCTGCGCCGTACCGGGGTGCCGCCGACAGGGGTGCTGGGCGCCGCGCCATGGCGACGGTCCACCGACAGCGGCGTGCGCAGACTGCCACCTGTCGCGGCACGGCCCCGGGTCAGACACAGAGGGCAGATGACACGGCGGAGCTGCCGAGGCAGCTGCACAGCACATACTTACCAGATCCTCCACAACTTGTAATATCGTGGTGTGGGTTCTAATTCCCAGAACCAGCAACCAAAACATGATGATTCTTATATAGTAACATGCAGAGATTTAACCCTCGCCCGTATTGGTGGTTTGCCAGCCGCGAGCGTATACGGGGGGGGGGGGGGGGGTCCGTTTGACCCCCCCTGCCGTTTCGCCCCTGATCGAGCTAGAGCTTTGCGGAAAAAACGAGCGTGTTGCCCGTGCTGAAAGGAAGCCGATGATACCCAATTTTAAGGTCCTAGGTCATTGGTTGACCTTCCAGATCAGGTCAATGACTCAAAAGTCGGAAAATCGGGACCTGTTAGAACGTCGTAAAGTGTCGCTGCTATGACGTATTTCGGGGTGCTAATCACAAATATCATGTTAGTTTTGATCACATATGATGTCTTTATGCTTTTAGGCCGGGTCGGGTCAGGTCAGGTCAGGTCAACCAGTAGGGGTTCTGCCGGTAAGTAAGTGTCAACCGCCTCTGACAGCTTCGTAGCATGTTACGAAGGCACCAAAACTACTTCGTCAATGTTAAACTGGTTGCTAAATTGCTGCTAAACTGGCTGCTAATGCGAGCCAACATACGCCGAATTGCGATTCCGGCCAAACATGGTCTCGAGAAATAGGTCACAGGTAAAAGGCCATTTGGGTCAGGGTCAATAAATTTTCAAGGTAGGTGTAAAATTGATCAACTCGAGGGTACTGGAAGTTTCGTCACGATCGACCGCTTTTTACGCGAGTTATTGCGAAAAACCGAGACCCCCCTATACGGGCGAGGGTTAAGGCTGAAACAGCTGAACAAACATTTTGACATTGGAATTTAATCACATGCCCTATGTTAAGGTCTGTAGTTAGTGAAATAAGTTAAGATTCCCATCTACATTGAGAGTGAATTGTCAAACTTTTATGAACCATTTTTTATATTCCCAGGAAATATTGAGTAATGAATTGCCAAAAGCTTGTTGTTGGGACAAAATGTCCATTTACAGTCCATTACTGTTTATTTAAAATTTATTTACCAAGAACACTTGGTATTTACAAAGATTATATTAATGCCCAAAAGCTAAAACTGCCTTATTTCCACTACCAAGTTGAGCGCAAGCACTAACTAAAAACTATATATATATATATATATATATATATATATATATATATATATATATATATATATATATATATATATATATATATATATATATATATATATATATATATATATATAAGTAAATGCGCAGTAAATGCATATGACATAGAGTATATGCTTGGAAAGATTAAAGCAAAGCTACAAATTACAATCAATTATCATAAAATACATGCACTGAATATATTCTACACCACCATCATACAATCTGATGCTTTTATTAGCATGGTTACTTTGAAGCAGAGACTCACGTTTTGCTATTTTAACTTTTGGTGTAGTAAATATACTCTTGTCTTGCTCATTTTCCTTTCCTCTGGTAGATGGTGTTATTTTTGAAAGGCTTCTCACAGACTTTGGAGGTAGTCTTCCAGAAGGGGTGGCTGGCTTCTTTACAGAAGACATTCTGAAAGGAGATACATAAAATGGCATGTAAGGGTCAGAATGTCCAGAATTGCTTTGATTAATTTCTTGGTATATGCTCAGTGTCACACTTAGCCCGGCGGCCGCTGGGCCTCCGCGCCACCCACCGGCACTGGGGGGCATTTGGTTGCCCCCTTTACTTCAGCGATGATATTGTCGCAACACGAAGAGAAAGAGAAGTGAAACCTTGCACAAGCCTTCCTGAATACCTAGCCGAGTTTGTGTCCAAATTTGATGCTGATCCCATTTGAAATGACGTCACAGTGGCGTCAGAAGCAGGGATGCGGAGCCGGAGCCGGAGCCGGAGCCGGAGCCGCCGGAGCCGGCATATTTTGCCCGGAGCCGGAGCCGGAGCCGGAGCCGTGAAACAATATAGCCCGGAGCCGGAGGCGGAGCCGGAGCCGTCAAAAAAGGGGGCGACTCCGGCTCCTTTTCTTAAGAGGAAACAATTATTTACCTAGGTTTGACAGTACAAGGCGTAAAACAATGTGGTATTCAAAACAGCCTTGTTATACAAATACAGAAGCAACGTGTACCAATCGGCCATCGCCTTTTTTCTTCCACCCGTATTAGGGGATGTACTGAGTAGAAGCCGGAGTCGGAGCCGCCGGAGCCGGAGCCGCCGGAGCCGGAGCCGCCGGAGCCGGATCATTTTACTCGGAGCCGGAGCCGGAGCCGGAGCCGCCATGACATTTCACCCGGAGCCGGAGCCGGAGCTGGAGCCGATTTTTTTCTCCGGAGCCGGAGCCGGAGCCGGAGCCGTCTGAAATTTCCACGGCTCCGCATCCCTGGTCAGAAGTCAACTTATAAATTTCAGACTCTCAGTTTCCTCATAATATATCCGATAATGAGACCGAGTATAAAGGACTGATTATTGGTCAGAAACTAGTTGGAAGTGTACTTGGATGACAGCAGGTGCTGTCTAGTTCATTCACATTTAAGTTTAATGTTCAGCAACATCAGAAACGGTCAATATCGGAAAATGACAAAACCTTATGACGTCACTGTGACATCATCTCAAGTGCTACAACAATTAAACTTCCCTCAACCATTGCCTAGGTTGGTCTATTCATTTGAAGCTATGCCAAGTTTCACGTTCATAGCTCATCAGGTTTTGGATATTCCACAAAACATAAAGAGGGCAACTTAATGCCCCCCCCCCCCCAGCTGCTCGTGGGTTAACTAGCCTATTTTCTAAACTGAAATAATGCATCAAAATAAGCTAAATTGTTGTTTGCTACTTGTTCATTGTTTATCATAAAAGTTCGACAAAATCAGGTACCATTTACCTGACGTCAAGCTGTCTTGTTGAAAGCTGGGCTTCTTAATAATATCGAATCGTGATATATATCTAAGGTAACATTTATATATTGATATGAAGAAGGAGGCAACAACGAGCCAACTCTGGAAACACCCTCAGTAAAAGGAAAGCATCAAATAAATAATCATACTGCCGCCGCTCCGCACACCTATTTTTTCGCCTTTTTCCGTTTGAAAGTTTCAAATATGGCGCGAGAACCGCGCCAGCTCAAATAATCTTACGATTGCAGTTGTAATGTAAATGTAAATGGGGGTAACTTGACGTAAGAAAATAACTAATTCAAAAAAATATTATAAATGGCCTTTGATATCTTCAAAATTGACGCAACATAAATAAATTAGGGCCACAGATATAATGAACTGGTAAAAATATTAGATCTGAGACAGCATTTGATTTTTTAAGGACTGTTACGTCACGATCCGAAGTTTAAAGATATATCATTCAATACACTTTAGCTTAAGCTGCTCAAGCTTCCTGCGCACGTAAATTATTCTGCTCACGGTTGTCTGGCTTGGTGGATGTTGAAAGCGTTGCGTTGAGAAAGTAGTTGCAAACGGAGTAATTTTATGGTGAGATTTAAAGAGACCTGCTGATCATCGATCTTTTAGCTGGAAGAAAACTAAGGCTCCTTTCCTTTCACATGCTTTTTCCAAAAGTTTACACGCTTTGAAGGCCGGCACAAGGCGCACGGCAAATTGAGCAATTCCTCTAATTTCATTGGCTAATATTTCAGGAGCACCAACCATTGAACAAACTTTCTGAGATAAACACAGAAATTTTTCATTTTTAAGGCCTTGATTTCAAGTAGTTTACCCCGTAAGCACGTGTCCATGCGTTTTTCATCATTGTATGGGAGGTATGTCATGTTTGTTCATCCATACAGTGCTTCAAAGTACGATCTTTTGAGCAGGTGAAGGAAGCCAACGACAATACCAGGAATTCGGCTGGAACCTGAACTGGAACCGGCTTCTACCAAATGTACGCCTGAGCACTAACAGGTTAGTTTTTGGCTGATCCTTGGGAGAAACTCCTCCCCAGTGCGTTTTTCAATTCCTTGGGTTAAAAATGTTACAGAAGGGCCAGACTGGAAAATATACTATGAGGAACATGTCTGGGGAAGTGTTGGGATCGTGCCGAAAATTTCAGCGCACGTCGGGCGTAGCTTCGCATGCGCAGAATATGGCACATGGCGGCAGCTGCATTTTTTGGTGCAGGGCAGGCGAATGATTTTTTAGTGAAAGGCAGTCACCAAATTTAGTTGGTACACTGGTTAGGTACTCTAGGAGCAGATTAACCGGTAAATGTTCAGAAAATGTTTGTTTCGCTTTTAAAACATGAATTTGGCATATTCTGAAATAATTTGACATCCTGAATCAGAATCCAAATATACTACACGTGGTGCAGATACAAGAAAAACACTATCAAACCTGACCTAAGCGGTAAAAGTATACATTAAGTCCGAGTGACTGTTAAAATATAAAGTTTTCATATTCTTACATTATTTGACATCCTGAATCCAAAAATGATACTTATATGTCCTGGAAATAAAAGAAAAACATAATCAAACCTGACCTAACCTTACCTATTTACCTAGTCCTACAACCTACCAACCTACAACCTACAAACCTACAACCTAACCTAACCTAACCTACAAACCTAAAACCTAAAACCTACAAACCTACAGCCTGACCTAACCTAAAACCTAAAATTTTTGCTGTTACATATTTGTATCAACAGCGTCACAATTGTCCACTCGGACCTAATATATACTAATACCACCTAACCTTACCTAGGTACTGACTTAAAACATAATTACCAACCTATAACCTACAAACCTGCAACCTACCAACCTACAACCTACAAAACTATCAACCTACAAACCTATCAACCTACAATCTAAAACGTTCAAACATTCAAACTAACATAACCTACAAGTTACAACCTAACCTAACCTTGAACCTTCTTGCCTACAACCCAGACTGGAAAAAAATACACATTATGCTGAATATGTCCGGCGTAGTGGCGGGATTGCGCCGAAAATTTCAGCGCACGTCCGGCGTAACTTCGCAGGCGCCGAATTCAGCGCATGGCGGCGGACGAATTTTTCGGCGCAAGGCGGTCGCATAATTTTTTGGCGAAATACGATCACCGAATTCATGCGGTACGCTGGTCAATCTAGCAGCAGATTCGCCCCGCGGGCGGCTCTGGAGAGGTTTCGGGACGAGACGTCCCCGCCCCGGTCGTCGCGTGCTGGAACTAGTGAGCCGCTCGATCTCAGCGGAGAAGCGGCCGCCCAGGTGAGGCCTTAACCCTCGGCGTGGAGATAGGTAAAGAAGGCCTTGTTGAACATCGCCAAGCGTCGTTCAGCATTCAGCAATACCGCAGTGGATTCCTGCCCACTGCGGTATCGAGGGGAATGAGAGCGCGGACGACCTGGCAAAACAGGCCAAACAGGCCTTGCCCTCAAACGCCCACTCGCTGACCAGGGCGGTTAGCTGTGCGGCCTCGCATCGCACTGTGCGGCGCAGAGCGCGACAACTGCTCAGAATCACTATTCAAGCCACTCCTCGGGAGCACGCCGCCGCTCCCTATCCCAGGAGAGGAACGAGAGGATGCCGTTTCGGTGCACCAGATGAGGGCGGGCCACTGGGGCCGCTCGCTCCAATACGGCACCGAATCGGCTGTTTCCACTCCGCGGCGTGCTAGCAGTGCCCAGACAAGCGGTGCCCCGGGGCGCTCTGCGCCTTGTGCCGAGAAAAGAGTGATGTGGCGGAGCACATGCTGTTCCGCTGCCCGGCCCTCGCTGACTCCCGTCAGCCTCGAACACACTGCTCCGCCGATATTAACATCGGCACAAATTTGTGGCCCCGGAACTAACGGCTCCAGCTTTGTCTCACCGCATGAAGCTATGGGTTTCCGTGGAAACAAAAAACTCATTCAGACGCTCAAACATGGGAGAGCGTACAAGGCCCCGGAACACTCTGTCTGGTTCATATATCCTTGATCGGTAGATGTTCACATGTGCTTTATATAAAAAGGGCTTAATTTTCGCACAAATGGGCACCTAACTTTTGGCGCAAATCACACAGAAATTTCAGCGCAAAATCGCTTGCGCCGAATTTCGGCGCAAGAGGGTCTCACGGGCGTCCGGCGTAGTGTATGGATGTTTTCCAGTCTGGCCTACAACCTGACCTAACCTAACCTTGATAACCTCATAATACACTAGCCTTGAACATTCATTGTGACAAGTATGATTAGATAAGTGAAACTTTTTTAACTATAAAGGTTAGGGTGGTAGGTACTCAGCAATAGGGTGAATTTGATTTTATCCGATTTTTAGGCGTGCAGGTCATTTTCTGGTTCCATCTCCATAAAAAATATGTGCTAAATGATTTTGAAAAATAGTGATATTTGGGGGTCTCGAATTGAGGTCAAAGTTGACAGCTTTGGGGAAAAAATCAACCTTTTGAAACTATTTTAGACCTATTTGGATTGACATGTGCGGTCATTAACCTTCCAGGTGGTGGGGGGGGGCATTTTTTGCCCCCCCCCCCCCTTTGGTTTTTTCGATATATCTCCAGAACCGCTGCGCCAATCGTCACCAAACTGTACCCTCCCGTGAGCAGCTATTGCACATTGTGACCATTTTTTAAGGTTATGATAGTTGGCCGCAAATGACGTCAGAGTGACATCATTTTTGCCATTTTCAACCCAAAAAAAGGTTTCGCGGGAAGAGCTGTCAGACCTACAGCTTTAGAGATACAGAAAAATGTTTTCGACATAAAAGGTGTAGAATTTAAAGGGCTACAAAACTGCTATCTCGGATTTTTGAATTTTTTTGATTTTGACCCCCAAAAAATAAAAAATAGATTTTTTGAATATGATAACCAAAAAATCCAGAAAGTTTTTGGAATTTCGTAAAACCGGAATATATATATATATATATATATATATATATATATATATATATATATATATATATATATATATATATATATATATATATTATATATATATATATATATATATATATATATATATATATATATATATATATATATATATATATATATATATATATATATATATATATATATATATATATATATATATATATATATATATATATATATATATATATATATATATATATATATATATATATATATATATATATATATATATATATATATATATATATATATATATATATATATATATATATATATATATATATATATATATGTGTGTGTGTGTGTGTGATAGTCCCGACCGCCTTCTATCACATACCAAATTTGAGATCGATACCTCTTTTTTGGCCAAGTCATAGCGAAAAAAACTTCAAAATTGATGACGTCAAATTTTCAAACTCAATTTTTAGCAATTCTAGACCTCGTAGCGCAAAACAAAGACCACCATTTGACTCCCCGTGACGAGCTGCATCGAATTAATACGCATTTTATGCAAATCTATCAACTTTCTGGCTGAACCGCGAGTCCTGGGCCGTGTTCGGGCAGCGTATCCTCTTGTAAAATTTTGCACCACGCATGCGCAGTTGGGGTCCCTCGGGTGCCAAGCTCCGCCCTTTGGCGTATGACGTCACACGTGTGACGTAGGCTCACGCAAAATCTTTCAGTTTTGCGCAAGAAGAAAATAGTAGCTGCAGGAGGCGAAAGTGGTGCGGATTTAAGTTAACCCTGCTATATTTCTTATTGTAATTGGTTAGTAAGGTGTTTTTTTGGTATCATTATCTTTCTTTTCAGTGGCACATTGATATTTAATACATTTGAACGCATTTTTACTCAGTTATTGAACGAAACCCACCAGTCCATCCGCGCCACGGTTCGCCGCGTGTCGTGTCCCTCGGCTTTGCGGGCCGGCGGAGAGGGGGCAGAACATGGGCGGTGCCAGGCGGCTGACGTCATCGCATGTGTACACTCCGCAAAATATTTTGCGCGGACCCGAACACGGCCCTGAACCCCGAGAGAAGGAACGTCGACCGACTCTTGGTCCTGGTATTGGGGAGAGGGGATTGGGGTGGCCAAGCTCCTTGCCATTCCCAAACCATCCAAGCACAGGAGGCCATGCTCACAGTGCTGGGGACTAGGGGCTGGAGAAGCGGATCTGTGGCCTTTTGCTTCGACACCACGACGGGGAACAGCATGCTGGTGAACGGGGCTTTAGCCCTCATCGAGCAGAAGCTGAATCGGCCCGTCCTCCAGCTGGCCTGCCGGCACCACGTGTAAGAGCTGGTCCTAGAGAAGGCCTTCTCCACTTACCCTAGAATCTCGAGCGGTCTCGACATCCAGCCATTCAAGAGATTCAAAGGCGCTTGGGAGTTCATTGACAGGATCACACCGGTGGCGTTCGCCGCCGCCGACGTTCGGGAGTGGGATGAGCTGCTGGTCAGCTTTCATCGCTTCCTCAACTACGCCCAGCTTCGGGAAGACTATCGAAAACTTCTGGAGCTCTGGGTAATTGCTCTCGGCAGAGTTCCACAGCACAGCATCCGCTTCTCCGCCCCAGAGTACTCCACTGAGTTAGGTGGATGGCGGCAAAAGCCATCCGCGCTGTTGATGTCCTCCTCTTCAAGGAGCAGTTACGGCTGACGGCGGCCGAGGCCCAGGTCATCAGACGCTGTGCGCTGTTCGTTGCCTGCACGTTCGCCGCCGCCGCCGCCTGGTCTGGGACTCTACTCCCCGCCACTGCGCCGGCTCTGGACCTGACCTTGAACTCGTTCTACACCTGCCCCGACAAGGAGCTGTCGAAGGCGACAGTCCCGGTCTTCAGCCGTCACTTGGCACCTGTAGTACTTGAGTGATCGGCTGGTGACTGGAGCTTTTAGACCCCGACCCTCGGGCCCAATCAAGGCATGGTGCGGGCAATAGACTTGCAGGAGAGGGAGGACGAGGACCCGCCCCACAAGTCCTTAGTGGACACCATAAACGCCGCTCTCGCGACGAAGACGTTGGCGAGCTTCCTCACACCTCGTTTAAAC